CAGATTGTCCAGAGATTGGCATTGCTTCACAAAATTTAGTGGCCGATTTCGTAACTAATACCCCCACTCTACCCGCACTTCTTTAATTCATCGTTCAAGAAAAGTCGCGCGAGAAATGCATACAAGTTTATTTCGGAATTCTACCGAAGACCAATCAGAGAGCAGCATAAAAAAAGCACATCACAATCCGCGAGAAGAAAATTGAAGATCGATTTCCCACTGTGTTCAGGTACTTGTCTGTAGAAATGTACGTGTCATGAAATGTTATTATATGTTGTCTGCGAACGGTTTTGGTACCAGTTGTGAACAATTTGGGCAATTTTTCGTATTATTGTTCAACGAATTTCTCGTGCATTCGGTACAGGAGAATCCTTGTTTAAATTATTTAAGAAAAGCGAGTACTACTATTGGCATATACAAAAGGCGTAAAATTATAAGAAATTCGAAGAAAAACTGTAAATGAATCGATCAAGTTTTAATACATTGAATTCTGATTGGTTCAGGTGAAATTTTCGTTGAATGTTCCTTTTTACCTGTAAATTTTACTGCAAAGTTTACAGCATAACGTTACGGTAAAGTTCGCATTGTGAATGAGACCTTTAGGCTTTCACTCTCATCGTATCCCACGTGGAAGAATCGACTCACTACCCACGGCAAACGAAATGGCGTTTTTCAACGTATGAAACTTTTATCGACATTGCCCCCAAGGATATTTTGCACGGCGAAGCGTTATAGCAATCGATCCACAACAATACCGATCTTCTGCGAACGCACATGTTGAGTTTCGCATCACTTTCGTGCATCCGCGCATGCGCAAATGATCGAGATTACAGTACGGCGGAGCGTTATTGCAAACGACAGCACTATCGATCTTCTACGGTGATATCTGAAAGTGAACGATGAGAATTACATTTTATTTTCCAAAACTGGAAATTTTGTAAAGTACTTGCTCGGCCATAAAGTTGTTAATCGCCTTAAAAGTTTAATCTAAAGAGACATAACACGTTTAGTAAGTGCACTACTTAAGCATGCACGATTTATAACATTTTATCATTTCCAGACGAACGGTTTTTGCATAGAGATTCGTTCAAACTTCTTTTTCTCCTTTTTTTCATCCATGACTTTTCCCGTTTCTACAGGTCGGCGCTAATGGAGGGGGGGCTCATTTTTATTAATTTTCCGCACAAACCGTTTTTTATACTGACTTAGCGATGATTTACGATTGGATACCGTTCCTGACACCAATCACAGGCGAGACACACAAACCCATTACACATCGGCAACACACACAATCACAAAACACACACAACCATAAACGACGTGGGATTCGAACCCACGATCCTTTGGTCCGAGATCGCCACAGCACTACTGTTTTTGCGGTCTCGGCTATCCGGAACGGTTGAAAAACTCTTCTTTGTCAAAATTGTTTAATTACTGTCATCCGATGACAGTTATGTCGAGATAATTTTCCAACCTCGAATTGTAATATCTTACGGTACTGTTTCGAATATAAATGTTATGGCACATATGACGCTTCACAACGCATGGCCAACTTAGCGACGAGACTCAGACTGTCAACGATTAACATGAAACAATGAGTTATTTATGATGGCATCACCTATGCGAAATATTTAGTTGTTTTTTTTTCAAGTTAATACTACAAATGTAATAATTTTGTGTTAATAATGTTCTTTTGTATACTGTTTAATAGAAATTACTATAAGGTTCCATGAAAAATTCATATTTACAATAACCATATTCTTTTCGTACATTCTTTAAATATGCACGTAAGACTGGAAGTCGACACACCTTTTCTCTTACACCGTGGTTAAAGCATAAGACCTCTTTGTTTCTCGAGCGGAGAAAACGACTGTCAAACACGAACATTTGAAGTTCTTGTGAGGAAATGTAAAACTGTTCTTCGAGAGTGCCTTTGGGTGTCAATTTCACCAAAGCCAGCGAACACAAACGAAACAGTCTTCAGTATTTTCCTTAAAAATTCACAATAATACGCTCTTCAAAACGTTGAAATAACACGCCACCAGGCTGCATCTAAAAAAACTACGACTGACCAAATAATTGTTGTTAGTAGCATTCGTATCATGATGACTGGAAGTTGGTAACATGTGGGCTTGTGCTTACGAATATTTTCACCACGTCCTTTTATCTTTATAATGTTGCACTTTTTGGTCTTAGAAACTTGTGTCTTTAAGTACAAATGTCTTCAATTGTGAAATGAAAGCCTGTAAAGGTGGGTTCATTTTTTTCAATTTTAAAGTATTCAGTTATCGGTGAGTCATGCTGAAGAGACAGATTGAGAAAGAGAAAAACAAACTAAGACAAAAAGAAAGAGGGACAGAGAAATAAGAAGGGTATGGGTACAGGAAAGAGACGAAATGAAAAAGAGAGCAAGGAATTTAACAAGATTAAAAAAATGATAGGAGAAAGAGATCGGGAGTGAGAGAGAGGAAGACAGAAATCGAGAGCAAGAAACCTTGTGAGAAAGCGCGCGAGCGATAGAGAGTGAGTATGGGAGAGATACAAAAGAGAGAGGGAGGAGAGAGCCAGAGAGAGCGTTTACAAAAAGCTAAGTCACGCTGAACCAAAAAGTGCAAGAAAATTTATATGATTGGTCGATACAGATCCTTATTTAAGAGTTTAAAAAAATAGAGGCTTTCCACGAGAGAGAGAGAGAGAGAGAGAGAGAGAGAGAGAGAGAGAGAGAGAGAGAGAGAGATGTGTGTGTGTACGTGTGGCCGCAGGAAGCTGAACCTGCTGGACGACACCGAGGGCTACCTGCACATCCGCAACCTGAGCCTGCATCCTGTCAACAGCGAGAACGAGGCGCTCAACCTGCTCTTCCTGGGAGACACCAACAGGTGCGCCTCTGCTTGCTCTTTGCTCTGCAGCTGCCGACAACAACAAATTGAAGCGCTACGCGCGTGTCGATAAGGTCATTAAGCTATTAATCAGACTCAGAAACATGATAGGAATAATTTATCATATACTAAATGAAATAAGTGGATTTCATTCAATTACTCGAAAAAAAAGCCCTACAAATTCCAAGGATTAGCTCAACGTGCAAACAGAATAACACGCGCGTCCGCCATATTGTATTGGGTTTTGCTTACAAATTCGATTGGCGGTCACTGCGCATGCTCAGAAACGTTTCGTATGGCCTTTTGCATCGTGATTGCTTCGGCAACATGACGATATACGGCGCCCGGCGCCGACTGCAAGACCCAGGGTTTGATCCTCGCGAAGGGCTGCAATTTTGCTCCATACGTCGAACAGGCGTGACTTTGTGGCTCACGCCGTGATTGCGTACGTAGTTAAATTTCCGTGATCGAGTGACTATTGATTCCCGATACATCAACTTCTCAGGTGATTAATCCCGTAAGTGGAGTGCATATATGACGCCTCCATCTCCCACTAGAACGTGAAGTCCGGTGCCGACTAACAAGTCAGCTTGCGAGGACTCTCCACCTCCCCTAGCGAGGAAGGGAACTAGCCGGAACAAGCTCTGGGCTCCTGCCGCCGTCTCCTGCGATAAAAACATGCTCTACACTCACGGGGCTAATGGTCTTATCAGTTGATGCACCCGGAATCACCAATCAATCAATCAATCCAATGATTTACAAAATCCTCCATAAGGAGTGTGTGATACCATTTGGCGCGAAATATTTGGGAATGTTTTCCTGAAAATTCTCATTTACATTTTAATGGTTCGTGTATGCGGATCAAGCTCTTCTTTTGTATACTGTTACAATCTTTTCATGATATAAATTATATTTATCTTCTATTTTCATTATTCTATTTCTTTGAAACGCAAAGAATAACGAAAATATTGTACAATATTATGGAAATTCCGCAGTGAATTATCAAGACGGATTTTTTGTAATAATGTTATGTCTGTCTATTTACATGAGTGGACGATGTAAAATGGTGAGGGAGAGAGGAAACGAGATGGAAAGGATAAGAGTAAGGGATATTTTGTTGAAAGTTGCGAGAGAGAGAGAGAGAGAGAGAGAGAGAGCGTCAAAGGGAAAGATGTAGAAATTGTGAGTTCCAGAGGGAGAGACTGGGAGCGAGAGGGAGAGGGAGCAAAAGGGAGAGAGTGGAAGCAAAAGGAAGAGATTGGGATCAAAAGGGAAGAGTGGGAGCAAAAGGGAAAGAGTGAAAGCAAAAGGAAAAGATTGGGATCAAAAGGGAAAGAATGGAAGGAAAAGGGAGAGAGTAGAAGCAAAGGGGAAAGAGTGGAAGCAAAAGAGAGAGAGTATGAGGAAAAGGATGAGAGGGGAAGCGAGAGGAAGAAGGTGGGAGTGAGAGGGGAAAGAGAGGCAGGAATGAAGAGAACGAGACGGGGAATGAGCGAGAGAGATTATGAATTCCAGAGGGAGAGAGTGGTGGCGAGGAGGGAGAGTGGGAGACGGTGGGAACGAAAGAGAGCAAGAGAGATAGTGAGTGCCAGAGGGAGAGGCTGAGAAGAGAAAGAGAGAGGGAGTGAGAGGTTGGGAGCGAGCGAGACTGTGAAGAGAGGGAGAGGGAGTGAGTGGTTGGGAGCGAAAGGGTGGGAGCCGGCGGGAGCGCGAGAGAGAGAGATTGTGAGTGCCAGAGGGAGACTGGGGAGAGAGAGAGAGACGGGGGAATGAGAGGTTGGATGCGAAAGAGTGGGAGCCGACGGGAGCGAGAGAGAGGGAGAGGGAGAGAGATTGTGAGTGCCACTGGGAAGAGAGAGAGAGACGGGGGAATGAGAGGTTGGATGTGAAAGAGTGGGAGCCGACGGGAGCGAGAGAGAGAAAGAGAGAGAGAGATTGTGAGTGCGAGAGAGAGACTGTGAAGAGAGGGAGAGAGAGTGAGAGGTTGAGAGCGAAAGGGTGGGAGCCGGCGAGAGCGAGAGAGAGAGATGGAGAGAGCGTGAGGGCGAGCGCGGCGCTGGCGGCGTGCGCAGGGCCATCGCCGAGACGCCCATGAACCAGGCGTCGTCGCGCTCGCACTGCATGTTCACCATCCACCTGGCCATCCGGCGCACGGCTTGGAAGAACACGCGCCGCGCCAAGCTGCACTTCGTCGACCTCGCAGGGTGGGTCTCGCAACGCCGCAATGTAATTGAAGGATGGGTGCGTGTGGGTACAAAAATGGGTGTGGGGGTCCAGGGAACATAGTGGTGTAAGTCAGTTTCTAGGTAACTTCGTTGTCTGTGTGAGACATGTACTATTTACCTTGTGTGATAGTGAGGTCATAACTCTAGTGGCAGAGGAAGGAGAAATACATTGGAGTTGATACAAGACGGTTGAAAAAAGTTCCATCATGAAAAAAGTCGCTTCTCTCGACACGCCGATGCCCGACACAAAAATTATTTGGCACGCGGTACAGCTACTAACCAGAGTTGGGTTTCATTATCGAGAGTTCTCTTATTCCAATCATCATGTGTGCATCTCTTTATCAACAAACCTTCCCATCGCACTGAATATTATTACTAAAGGGTAATAAGAAACTTTTTAATGCGCAGACAGTAGACACTGGGTGGGCAGTGTGTGTAATGTGGGTAAGCCCTCAGTGACCTTCAGGGTCAGGCTCTGGTCAATACCCATGGACGAGCCCTGGACTGAGTTTGAGTGAAATCTGAGAAGACTGGGTGGGCCGTGTGTACAGTCAGGGTAAGATCTGAGCGACCTTCGAAGTGAGGCCCAGGCCGAGACAAATGAAAGACCCCTTAACGGGGCTTGGGTGAGCTCTGAGAGTGGACAGGGGCGGGGCCTAGCTGCGTGTAAGACCTGGGCGAGCCGTGAGCGCTGCGTGGGCGCGTGCGCAGGTCGGAGCGACTGAACAAGAAGGGCGGACGCAGCGCGCACGGCAGCAACACCATCGACGGTCGCACCATCAACGAGGCGCGCCACATCAACCTCTCGCTGCACTACCTCGAGCAGGTACCTCCTCCTCCTCCTCCTCCTCTAGAAAGCTTTCCTTTTTCCTCCTCCAAAGCCGGCTCAGTGGGCTCGGGGCGTCAACTGATGTCGCTGATGTGCCTCTGACCGGGAGGTCCTAGGGTTACACTCCCCACGGAGGCAGCATTTTCCACACTACCTACACAGCTAGGTTACGAGCGAAGTTACTGGGAGACGTGGCTCAGTGCGTCAACTGATGTCGCTGATGTGCCTCTGATCGCGAAGTCCTAAAGTTCCAGAGCCAGCAGTTGCGGATTTTCGCTACTAGTTTGATAGCTAGGTCGAGTTCTGCCGCTGCCTGGAGAAGAATTCGAACGAACGGCAGCCCTGATCGGTAGTTTTCCGTTTTTTCTCCAATCAACACCAGGCGAATGCCGGAGCAGTACCCTAACAAACGGGCCACGGAACACGCCCGATCTTTCTTTTGCCGTCCTTGTCTTATCCTCCCCCTTAGTTTCTCTCACTTACACGTTCATGCACTACACCACACAGTCGGGAGATTAGCGCGTGGCCCGGCTGGGTCGGTATCCCGCTGGTGGGAGATAACTGGTGGAGGGAAAACCTCGTTAGCCGCGCGGGTAGTTCGTCGCAGGATTTCACCATCCAGCGAGGGAAGACCATAGCCAACTCCCACTTTAAAACAATGCTCTACACTTACGGAACTAGTGACCTTAACAGTTGACGCGCTCGTAATTACTGAGTAATGAGCCAGCTCCGCGAAAGCCAACCTTGAGCCAGGGGCTGATCCTGAGACGAATTTTAGGAGGGGAAATTCAATATGTTTTGGTCGAAGGTGTCATATTACAAATTTTGTAAAATGTCGTAGGCTACACGAGCTCATGCTGCAATACAATTTAATTCGTTTTAATGATTGTCCTAAAATATTTTTGATTGAATGTTTCGCGACTAGTTAAAATTAATAGATACTGAAAAATTTTAGTGGGGAGGGGGGAGTATTTCTTTTATCTTTCTACCCGTGGATCTGCGCCTGCTTTGAACAGACCTGTTATGAAATTTTCATTTACCTCCACATTAGTCAAACATGTTCCATTTCAACCCCTTTTGACTCAACGTCTTTTAATTTACGGAATTATTTAAGTTTAAATACATTTGTTTGAAAGTGTTGGGTGTCATGTTTTAAAAAGAACTTTAATTTTTTTCAAACAATTTGGGTGGTACACGACCCACGGTGGTGATACCGATGTTCTTTCGCACGTGTTTGAAGATTAATATGTGACTTTAACGTATTTATCGTCGATAATACCACGAGTGCTGTGGAAGTTGTCGATAAAGCCCCGATTCGCAAAGCGAAGAGGAGACTTATCTGAGAATTTCCAAAGCACGAGTGGTATTTAATAGGACTTTTCCATTTAATAGGAAATTATGTCAGTGATCCAAAATGCTCCAAATATTGAAAATAACTGAAAAAACTATGTTAAAATCGGAGATGTTATGTTACATACGCGGTTTAATGGACACCGACATAGCGATCGATCTATACTGCCTCCTCCGATAGATGTGTTACAATTTACGATGGGCCAGTAGGGTGGAGCGGTATGAAAAATCTGATAGAAAAAGCTATAAACATTTCGAGATACACCGCTCTGGTTGGGCCATTTCTTACATATAGTTAAACACTATTGGTTTTAATTTCACGAGTGGAATAGTTAACATAAAGTTTATTTATTAACCAATGCTAGAAGATGAATTATTATTTTATAGACGGTTTAGAATGTCATTCTTTCAACATAAATATTCGTCATTCAATAATATTGTACATATTCATGTACGCCGCTGGTGAAAGGTAATGAGGTTACTACGCCGACATAACCTCATAATCGTACCTTGTGCGTATAAAATGGGTCCCTTGTCAGCGTGCGTGAATATGTTTTCTTATCATACAAAATTAATGATGAATTTGCATGGCCAGAATTTCGAGTCTTTCATAATGGAATGTCTCGATAATTGTGAAAATTCGGAGTATGCACATGGTAGTGATAATGAAAATTAATAAAATTTCCACCTTGGTACTTTTTATAACCTAGTTGTTTACAGCATTGAAATAAATTAACAAGATATTGATCGTTTTGAAACACCTCTGTGAATAATATAGTGAATAATTTTCATTCTGCCTAGCGCCTCCCTTGCCTTAAAGTGCGAGTAATTGTGTTCAAAATTTACTGCACAGGTGATCACGGCTCTTGCCGAAGCAAAACGCGTCCATGTGCCTTATCGCAATTGCATCATCACTACAATGCTGCGCGACTCCATTGGCGGTAACTGCCTCACATCCATGGTGGCAACACTGTCCTTGGATCATCATCACCTGCCGGTGAGTGGGGTCTTTGATTTATTTTCGTCAAAAAACCGAAAAACGATGTAAAATATGGGCGAGAAGAAAAATTTGTACACTTTTTCGAGTTCCTGAATTCCATCCTCGCCCTTTTACTATTCGTACATAATTAATTTATGAATAAAAAGGCCAACAAAGCAAGGTTAGCAACATTTGAAAATTTGGAATTTTCGCTTCCCAGAAACAAATGGTCAAATCGGGTACCATGTGTACTACTAACAACTGTATTTTTTCTCCATACTACGTATTTACTCTTTTTTAGAAAAAGTATTGTAATCTTGCGGCAAAAATCGGCGATTTTTTGACAAAAAATGGATAAATCTTGTTCCTATAAAAAAACTGTAAACTACTTTTAACGCTTTGAGTAATAAGAAACCTCGTTTTATGGGTTCTTGCTACCGAAACATTGGTTGGCAGTCAAACACCAGACCGTACGTTTGTGTGCAACAGGTGTGAACAACGCCAGCGTCTAAACCGTTCAGCCGATTTTTTCCAAAATTGATATTCCCGAATCGATCTGGCTTATCTCGCAGTCTCCAGAATTTGAAACCGATATTCTAATATTGGGGTATTTTTTAGAGTAAGGCCCTGGAACGTTTTAAAAATTTTCAAAAAAATTGTTTCATCGGTTTTATTAAATTTTGTTGTTGGATTGTGTAAATGCCGTTTACGATAGACGGTGCAGATCTCAAGTTCGTTAAAAAAAATATTTTTCGAAAATATATTGCAAAAGTTCGGAATTATTTCTGAGTCTTCCTACAACTAAAATATTAAAGAGATATTCTTTCCGTTAATAAAATATTTTATTTAAAGATGAATTTTGATATAAGGTCATGTACAATTTTTCGAAAATTTAAGAACTTTTCGCATAATTTTGCGTCAAAATACGGGCGAGAAAGTACGAAGGTGGATAAAATATGAACGAGACTTTTGTAATCAGCGTCGTCAGTCGCTCCTGACAAATATCCTCAGTCGTCAGTCCTCCTGTCCTCCTGTCGTCAGTCACCTGACAAATATCCTCAGTTTATAGTAGTGTTTATTCTCAATCAAAGTTGCACTTTCGTTTCTGGTGTGCATATTGTTGTATTTATTACAATGAATGAACAAGAGCACAAGTTTCAGTTGCGCAATGCATTATTATTCGGTTTTTGGCGAATGAAAGTGTGAAACCTTATGAAGTTTTGAAGCGATTACGTTGTCAATTTGGTGTCGAGTCCCAAAGCCAGAAGACTACAAAAGGTATTATTCGCAAAAGCTCGCAGCGAGCACTGATAACATGTCAAAGACATTTTCACTGGCGCGAAATAGAAACAATTTTCTTTTGATGACGAGAACTTCTGACCGTTATTTTCTCCAAAAAACGTAAAGAAATTACCGAAGAAAATAATGATCTACCCCAGGAGATACCTCGAACTTATGAGAAAGTTAGAACGCAAATAATTAAGAAAGTTGCGAAGGTATGGCTGATTGACATTGCTTCATAAAATCTAGTGACCGATTTCGTAACCGATACCCTCACTCTACCCGCATTTCTTTAATCCATCGTTCAAGAAAAGTTGCGCGAGTGATACAAGTTGTTTCGTGGCGGCGATAAAATCACTTTCGACTTGACAAATCCACGTCTCGGCGTCCACGGGCGAGCATTCCGTCGGACAACGCTCGCAGAGTGGAAGACATCATTCGTGATGACAGACGAACAACTCTTCGTGATGAGTGTGAAACAATTTCACTGTCTTATGGAAGTGTGCAAACAATTATCAGAAAACCCTTAGAATATAGAAAAATCTGTGCGAGGTGAGTACCGAAACTTTTGAATGCAAATCAGAAAACTGGAAGGATGGAAGCTTCTCAAAGTTTTTTAGAACGTTATGGCGCAGAAGGAAACTCATTTCTAAGACGTATTCTCACATGTGATGAAACGCGGGTGCATCACTACACACCTGAAACGAAGAGGTCCAGTATGGAATGGTGATCAAAACAAGAATCAGCGACAGTGAAAACCAAGACTCGTGAAGTCCTGATGACTGTCTTCTGGGATGTCAAAGGCCTGATTTACGTTGATTTCCTGTGCGAGCAACGAACCGTTAATGCAGCTTAGTGTTGTGAGGAAGTTTAAAGAAGCTTAACGGTCGAAAAGACGCAGGAATTCAATAAGCAGTGTTCCCCTCCTTCATGACAACACAGATGTTACACAACCAATTACAAAGGAATTACGCTAGACAATGTTGGGGAGTCCCCCTCCACCTATAACCCAGATTTGGCACCTTCGGACTACCATCTTTTCAGACCACGTAAGGAGAATTTGGTTGACGAGAAATCTTCCTCTAATGAAGAAGTAGAAGACTTCGTGCGCAAATGGCTATACAACCGTCAACAAAACGTTTTTGAGACCGGAGTAATGAAACTACCAATAAGGTGGCAAAAATGTGTAAATAATGGTGGAAACTATGTAGAAAGGTAGTCGGCATGTTTGTGTTTTTGATTTTCTAACATTCAATTAATTGTTTTTCAAAAAGTCTCGTTTATATTTGGCCCACCTAATACGTGCTGTTTTTGCGCCACTGGTTTTCTTCTTGTTCAGGAGACGCTAGCAACTTGCCGCTTTGCCCAACGAGTAGCACTCGTGAAGAATGAAGCTACTCTTAATGAGGACAGAGATCCCATGCAAGAAGTGTCAGTGTTGAAAGCAGAAGTGAAGAGACTGAAAGATCAAATTAGATTACTTTCAAATGACAAGGTAAGTTCTTTATATTTTGTTTTTTTCGTTTTTAATAGCAATTCAACCCATACATATTAAAAGTTATAAGTTCATTTTCGAATTTCATCTAAGAAAAACACTGTTGTCTTCATCTTCAGCAAGGAAACATGTTGCAAGAATGTATTTACTTTCTCGTATACGTACGTATATACGGAATAATATACATAGTAAAGAGAAAGTTATGTAATGCTTCCTAAAATCGATTTCAAGATTTCAACGGAAACATGTTTTAGGGTCCCCTGATATCGAAAAAGTGTTGTTCTTATTGTTGTTTTGTTGTTGTTTTTCTTTCAAAACGTCCGTCTGGTGTTTGTGAACAACACTAGCGTCTAAATTATACGTACGACTTTTTTCCAAACTGAATAAACTCTTGTCGATCTTGCCTGAGACCAAGCTCTACGATATCAAAAGAGTTTATTAATTATATTGTGTGGGGATACCATTAGGAAAGCTAAAAATTAAAAACATATTTTTAAAAGATACTTTAGGTGGCGATGGATGGCGGCTGGCAAGGGGATGGAGGAGTCCACACAGCTAGCCCAGACAAAAGAAATTATAAAATTGTAGTATGAGAAAGTCTGTGCCATTCTGTAGCTCGATTAGTTTCCTTTGGGGTGCAAATTCTATGAGAAACATTTACAAATTAGAAATATACTTTTTTGTCCTTTTTGGGAGGGGGGAGTCATTGCCAATGGCCACATTCTGAATCTAAATCAGCTTTCTTTCAATGTCTTTCAGTTTTGTTGATTTCTATCAGCAATTCTTCATTTTTCACAGAGAAGCATTTTTCCATAACATTGTACATCATTTGATTAATTATGATTTGTTGAACTTTCATAAACAATTTTAATAAAAATACACAAAACTGATGATTAGGGAGTGAAATTTTATGACCTAAAAAATCTTGAAATATACATTTAAATATCCATTTATGACCTAAAAATTCTCAAATATGCACTTTAACCTGTAATTAAAATTTTATCATCTATAGAAAAGAAAAGAAAAAAAACGCAATCTCTGACAATCTCTTTGTAATTGATGAGTGCTTATAAATAAATAGATTGTCAGTTGAAGTGTTTTAGAGATAAGTCTCTATTTTAAAGAAATATGCAAAATATGCAAAATATGCCTCTAAAATTACATGAATATGCACCAATAGAAAAAAACAGCCAAATATGCTCGTATTAATCTACATAGCATCAATTCTAAGCAAACTTTAAGAAATTTTACTTAGGTATGCCCTGAGGCAACAGACAAAAATATGCAAAATCATTGAAATCCACCTCCAACTGATGATCTTTCATAATTTATGGTGTGTGTAACATTTATTGGTTTTAAGTTTTAATAAACTGCACAAAATTTGTTGATATTCCATTTCTGTTTCTTTCTACGATAATTATCGAATAGTATTATATACAAAGTGTTTTCATTTAATGTAGTCAAATGCATTGTAAAATAAAACATGCTTCTGTGAAAATATTTGCTAAATTAGTAGCTTTTAGGAGCACCTAAAAAGGTTTTGCTCTCATCAGTTTATTTCAGAGGATACTGATTTATTGTATTTATTTCTGTATTATCCCAGTTGAACTCTGGTTTTGTTTTATATTTTAACCTATTACTGACACTGATTTTACAGCGCCCCAAATATTTCACCTTAGACCAAGAAGCCAAGTTCAAAAGTACTTTTTAGGATGAAAACATACTACTACTAAAATAATCTGGTTGGTGTATTTTGGAAAGTTTGGGGCTGTACACACATGAATATATTTTTCACATAATTTGAGTAGCCCTAGGCAGGGTGTCTTACACACAGGTTACTAGCTTCCCTTGGTGCAATCCCAGGTTCGATTCCTGGCCAGGGCAAAAACAGAGTTGTAGCTTTCCTTTAAAATCATCTGAGTTTCTAGAGCTGTGCAGTGAAAAAAAGCTCAGGCAGGCAGAGTTTGCTAGTTACGCTGAAGGGAATACATCATGTTCGCCACATGTCTAACCCTCAAGCGTGGGAATTAAACTAGGATGAGACATGGGGGACACTGTTAAGCTAGCCGGCGAAGCTACATACATAATTTTATATATCAAGACACTTAAATAGTCTCATACATCATTCAGAATAAGCTTTTACTTCCAAAACTTATCTCTATTTGTATTTATTGCAGCACTATGTTGATGGTCACCTGTCACCTGCTGAGGAAACAGAATGTCGAGAGCTGGTTGATGCATTCTTGGAAAATTCCCAAACTCTGGAGTTGCCCATGGACCTTCGTAAAATTGAATACTGCTGTTTTCTGCTCAAAGAAGCTGTGGTGGAAGCTCGTAGGGGAAACAACTTTCCCAAACATGAAAGAGGCACCTCTCAGCATGTAGAAAAATGTATGCAGAAGCTGTTGCAGCAGCGGAATAATGAAATAGGTAACCCAAATCTGCATAAACATACTCTCATGAACATCTATTCTCATAAAAACTTTCTCATGAATTTCCATTATCATAAAAACATCATCATCAACTCTTCTTTGCCATCCTATGTCCTTCAGTTAGTCATCTTGCTACAAGTTTCAAAATATTCTCAGCAATCATGAGATTAAGATCTCTCAATTATCTTTACCCAGAACAAATCATTCATTCTTGTTTTACATTTAATACAACTATTTTTAACACTAAATTGAAAATCATCAAAAATACTGAGTGACGGAAGTTTGAAGATCAATCTATTTTAAGAAAAGAAGTAAATAATTCAATATCTATTACAATTAATGCAATACAAACATTATTTTCCACTAATAGAACACAATAATGGCAACTGATTTTCAAACAAAACTTCCACTGTTTCGTAGTAGTTGCTAGGATACTCAAAATGCCTCATTTATTGTTATAGCTTTTTCCGAGATTCTTAGGGGATAAATATTAGGCATTTAAAATTGGATCCAATTTTAGGCATTTATGTTAAATTCAAATTCTGTTTTTAATTGCATCATACCATTTTAAATTAGTTGTGTCATATTTTTGCTATATCACAGCATTGGGTAAGCAATTCTCAAGAATGCTAATAATTAAATGTTTATAGATAAATTAATGAAAGAACAGGTGGTCAGAAATGTAAGTCTATTCATGGTAAAATATAAAACAACAATACCTAATAATAAAGACATTTCTTTGTACAAAGCTGTAGAGGATAATTAAACAAACAAAATCATGATAAGGTATTCAATGTGATTTAGAGCAAGCCAATATTGAAAGAAAGGGAAAAAAACTAAAAATTGTTTGCCATGAATGAACTTTAAATATTTTTACTAAAATCAGACTCAAACTACAATAGAAATGTAGACAACACAAGTTTTAAAAAGTTTGAATTGAATCTCAAAACAATTAAGCGGAAACAGCAGCTGTTAAACATTGAATTGGCATGATTAATGGTGTCATAATTCACCTGTCAATACGAATATGAAATAAAACATTGTCATCATCATCATCATCATGAAATAAAACAGTTACTACAATATATTATATATTATTACATATATACAATATAATACACTTTGAAAATATTTAGTTCTAAAGAGTGATATTTTTCTACATACAGCCATTCTAACTGAACTTTTACGAAAGGAAAGAAAACATAGAATGAATTCAAAATCACCAAAAAGAACATTGAGTCCACCTGGACCAAAGCCAAGCTTTGATGATTATCAAAAACTCATTAGACATGCAGGTGAGTAAATTAACAACTATTTTCCACAACATAATATATTATAGTTACATATGAATTTTTCAATTTTTGTTTTGGTATTTCTTATACGTGTATTCAATATTATAATAATGGGACTTAACAGAATCTTGGTATGATAATATGTTTGAGAGCAAACTATTTTTTATTTTAGTTATTTTCTCTTAGTATACAAATTCCATTCTTTTCTCATTCTAATTTGAAAAATGAATTTTAAGGCATTAAATAATTGATTAAAATATTATTAACTATAAATGAAAAAAAAAGACAAAATATATCAATACCTAAAAACAATATATTTTAAACCATTTTTGTCAAAGTGCTTCTTGAAATTCATTTTCACTTTCAAACATGTAAAATGAAAATGTTCTTTTCTTGTAAATAGATTTTCTCGTTAAAAGACTGCAATTATCCCGAAAATTATTTATTTCACATTGAAATTAAATAAGTATAAATTTAAGAAGTATTTGTAGAAGAATAAATATTGATTATTTTTGGTCTCCTGTAAAATTATTTTTTGAAGATATGTAGCTTCTTAAATGTTAATATTATTTTTGACCCATTAAGCCCTAAAGACTGAACACTAAAATTCTTGTTTCAAGTAATTAACTTAAACCAGTTTTGTTCCATGGTTTCTTTCAGTTCATTTCCTAACTTCTCATTAATATTCTTATTTACTCCTGTTGAAACTGTTATTTTGCATTTCTGCGCTAAAATTTGAACTGTATGGTTTCAGACAGGTATTTAATTTTTACAATAATAAAAATTGTATTAATTGTGAGTCGCATAAATGACATCCCAAATATTTCTTACATAGTTTTCTTGAAGAAACTTCATTTCTATTTAATTCATTTTGCTCTTCACTTTTAAACAAAAATATTTAATTTTTCTTTATTCTGAAAGACAAATGAAAATGTGTGATAATATATAATTAATATGATTAATTAAATTAGTCCATCTTTCTATTTATCAATGGGGAAGATACTAAAATAAAAGTCAATACAAAAAGAAAAGTTTTGTTTCCTGAAGTACTTATTTTTTTTCTATTTTGACTGGATATTCAAGAATGCTCTTAGTATTAATTTGTTGAGGGTGATATGTCACCAATATATCATTGGTTGCATAAGGACTTCATTTTCGTAGTGACTACAGGAAAACATACCATGCAATATCAAAAAAGAAGATGATAACGGTCCTACAAAAGTATTGACCAGAAATTTTAATAACTCTCTAAAGGCTTCTTTTCTTATTGACCTCAAAACTGAAATGACTTCAGCCCTTAATAAAACATTTGAAATGTCATTCTAAGTGACTCACTGTAAGTAAACAAATTTATTTAACTTGTAGTTTTTACATTTTTGCTTAAATTATTTTCCACGAAAAACATGGGAGTAACTGACTTTGTCTTCACAAGGACAGTAAGTTACTCAACAACTCCCGATTTTGACCAGTTTCAGAGCAACAAATTAAGACACACTTTAAATATTTTTCAAGATAAGAAATTGTTAGGAAAAGTTTAAAGATCACTCCAATAGTTGATTTATGCATATTTCAAAAATAGTAAAATATATAACTTAATTACTTTATTCAACTTGATATTGACAGATTTCCATACTGATACCTATGTACAAGATATCAGTATACTTGTTCTACCTTTGAAATTTGCAGTACCTTGTACTACTCTTCAAATTAATTTATTTTAAAATAAAGAGTTTTAAATGTAAATGAATTTCAAGGCATTATAAAGTAACAAAATTTTTCTTACACATTACTACAAGAACTAAGGAAATAACTTTTTATTTAAAGCTTTAAATTGTGTATATTTTTTTCTTCTTTTAGAATTTAATTCTCTAAATGCAGAGAACCATGTCCCTAAATTCTAACTATTGTGTTTTTAGGGCTTTGGTTCATAGCTTCAGCAACCAATTATATGAACTTTAATTATTGTCTCTGTATTCAAGTTTTTAGATCTTTAATATCATTGCAGGGGTCTCCCTGAATAAACATGAGCAAGCAGCCTTAAAGAAGTACGCAGCCAATCCCTCCCACACGAATGAAGTTGACAACCTCAAGGCACAGCTTAGACTCAGACACACAGCGGCCAAGAAAATCCATGATAAAATAGAGGAAAACAAAGCAAGAATAGGTATAAGCCTTGTTCAGAATTGTGAAGCATTACACAATGCATATGCTCTCGTTTTAAAATCACTTCGGAAGCATATGGCTGCGAGATGTGTTTAGATATATTTATTTTGTATAGTTAATTTATATTGTACAAGCTTCTATCTTAACTCATGGCATATCCATGCCATTCCAAACATCATCATGTATATGCACTTTTTTCTATCAGACAATTACACATAATATTTGAAATCTGTTTTAATATTATTTACTTTTCATGATACTACTCGTATTTTAGTGTAATCCAATAAAATTAATTTCATAGCACATATCAAAATTAGCCAATGAAATTAGGATAAACTTTTTTTTATCCCAGCATTTAGAGCCCAGTAGTTTATAAAGAAAATTGTTTCATTTTGAAGTTAACAAATGAACATTAATTAAGATATATTAATTAGAATGATGAAGGCTTCAAATTATTTGGATTATGAAAGATCACGGAACAGTATTGTTTTGCCATGAAACATGCAAAAGAATGGGAAAAAAGAAAATATGCCACAAAGAAAATACAAACAAGAGAGAATATGTACATTTAATATTTTGAAAAAAAGAAGCTATTAAAACATATGCCAGTAAAAAATCTAGAAAGCCTTGAATGTATTTCTGTTCAAGTCAATGAATGAAGATGGAAATTTAATTAGAAACATGTGGCTGTTTTTATTTCAATATGCAATTTGTAAATGGCTACACAAACCAAAACAAAACTGTTTCTATCAACAATGAAACTGTTTTGTTTTTGAGTTTTAAGCCTAATATGATTCTCTCTCTTTTCTGATCCCTAGTGGAATCTCGTAAGATGCTCGTCAAGCTGGAAAATGGCATTCCCTCCAGCAGCAATGTTGCAACCAGGCAGAAACAGCTGCATGCTGAACTGAAGGGCATTCTGGAAACAGAACAATCCAAGTACTGCAGCAACTTAACTGTACTGCGGGATCTGAAAAACGAATGTGATCACCTCACTCACAGTTTAAGACAAGCAGAAGTACGCTTCCTCCACAACTTCCAGTGTTGGTTGGTTTCCCAAGGGCAAGCATCGATTCTTCCAAAACACACTCCCCCTCAAGAGATCCCTCAGAAGCTGGTAGAAAATCCAAGAATACATCTGAGCATGCCGTCCTTACACAGCAATAATTTCCCAGAAGATAACATTACTACAAATGATACATCCAAAATACCGGCTAATTCCTCTCCTTCGACACCCCTCCAAACTGTTCATAACAATGCATCCAAGGGCTTTAATACATATCGATCACAACCAACACATAACTTTAACAGTAGCCCCACCAAAACCTACCACAATTTATCTTTGTCTGAAAGTTCTAAAAGAAAAACTGAAACTAATAAAGATGAATCATTTACTAGTGTAAGCGCTCTCAGACTACAGTGTTTGAGTAGGGAATCTCTAGGTGACTATTTTGCATGCACAGAACTTTCCTTTGATGACATTAAAAGTAACAAAGATAACTTGGAGAGGCATCAGTCTTCTTCCCAGAGGGAAGGAGAAAGTTTAGATTCATTATTTTCATCACATATTAAAGACCAGAACTTGACAAACACAATAAGATACAACCATGATAGATGGCTTTCCCACAAAGGAAGCGGTGAATCACCACTTAACTTTGAAAGGAAGGACCATGATTCTGAATCAAATTGCCTTGATTTCTCTGATCGTACATTTAGCCTCCCCGGAGAAACATTTTCATTTGATGAAAGCTATAGACTTACTGAAGACTTTCAGAGGGAATCTCAAGAAAAACAAAAAAAGTTACAACACAGGAATGTAAATACTTCACCTATTGCAGGGCAAATGAAATTGCAGGTGAATACCTCACACAGATATGAAGAGTTTAGGCAGTACAAAGATATTTATTCTCTACCTCCTCCAGATTCACGGAACATCTTAAATGAATCACCTATCACAATATGCCTGGAAGAACATACTCCACCTGGTACACCACCATTTGAAGGAAAACTGTTATCTAAAACCGACCCAAATATTGACCTAAATAATCAAGATCATGTCTTTTCAATTAGTGATTTTAATGTTGTTCCCCAAATACCTTTCACTGACTTCTATCAACATACACAGTTGGGAAGTAATAATATTAAAAATCCCCTGACACCAGATTTTTCATCTTCAGCAGAACTGAACCAAAAGTTATTTACTGAAAACAAAGAAAAACTTCATATACCAGATACACCTTGCACATATTTTGAATCAAACGTAAATGATACAACTCATCAGACTTTGTCAAGCCCAGAATTAGAAAAAGTATCTCTACCCCTGAACAATTCTGGATCTGTTTTGAACAACAATAATAATGAGGCAAGAGGACACGAAGATTTTGGAACTTCACTTCACTCAACTGAAAGACAACTAGAAAATACCAATGCGAGTAAAGATCCACTTCAATGTGAGCAAGATACAAAGTCTTCATTATCAATTAAAGATATCCCATTAACTGGAGACAAAGAAGTGGATGATGAAATAATAGCATTTTATGAAGCAAAGCAGAGAGCTTTGCAAAATCACAACAAGCTTTAAATGTAACGCTATTTCTGTTTGCATAGTTAACATTTTTCCTTATTTAAAATTAATCACATTTTGTACCTTCCAATCAGCTCTTTGATTTCAATGTTGTCTTATATAAAGAAACCAGAAAGCAGTTTACTTTTTAATTTATTCCAATGTTCTTACATTCGTTCTTGAGAACGTAACAGGATGTTAATACACATACTTATGTGTTATACACGTTAATACACCTAAGTCAGAATTAACTTCTGATTTACCTAATCCTACAATTATAATTCCTTTATAGTCAGCTCAAGAATATGATAATAAAAACTAATTCAATAAAAGAAATAGTGGGATGATGTGCAAAAGGAATGTAGTTCACAATGTTATGAAGAACAAATTTCTTCTTTTTTAATAATTATAAACATTTCTTTTACTCTCAGAAACACTTACAAGACAGAAAATCATACATCCCTTCTTTGACTGGAATATAACTTCATGTAGGACATGTTGTAAGCTTAATTGTCAAACAGTAGGCAGAATATTACATGATAGAACTTTACCTACAGTGTAAATATTTTATCAACAAATGATAAAACTATTTGAATCTGTTCACCGACTCAAATTTATATTAATTTCTTGACAAAGTAAACTTAAAAAATTGTTTGTTTCTATTAAGTTTTCTATTACTCTTAAAAAACGAAACTTCATTCTATGCACATTACATTCTGATTGAAGTAGTATTTAGGGTTGATATTGACAGATAATTACTTTTTAAATTTTGTTTAGCAGCATTGTAGATCTATTCCCTCACATTTATTTGTTGTAAACTTGATGTGAATGTTTAAAAGATAAATACTTTATTGTTTTCAACATACACACAAAAACTGTACACAGGGAAGAAGCTACCTGGACCTAAAAATACTGCAACTGACCAGGGCTTGAATATAGTAATGTAAAATATTCTATAATAAAAATAATCCCTTACGACTTCCTCGTCTACTTCAGACAGAAACTCGTAGTGCTTCGGAATGGCACAAACTCAGTGGCGGCTCGCCGGTATTCTCACGCTCACGTGCACACCCAAATTAATTCGGAGTAATTTCTCTCAAACATCATCTAACAGGAAGGGAATACAAGCCCTCTGAGAACGTTCCTAAAACTTGGTTGTTTCAAAACACGCGCCGTTCGGAAGCTGCGATTAACAGTCCGCCGCCAATGTCCTTTGTGAAAGCCAGCTGGAGCACACTTGGGAAATGTGAACGAGGAAAAGGCGACCACAGTGGCTAAGGGACAGATCAACATCACCTAGACATATAGAACGATTTTCCTAAGAATGGGATAAAGTGACAGTTCGCAAAACAAGTGAACATCACATCTACTTCAGAGAAGTAAACATGTGCACCATCACGAGTACGCATCTCACATTCTAGACTCGACTTTAAAACAAACAATACTTATCACATAAAAGCTAAATTTAATGCAATGTTTATAAAAAGAAAGAATTTTTGCAGAAGAGCGAAAAAAAGCTCTGCACTTCCTAATTTCAATTACTTTTCATGGCGCACTATATTTTCGTCGGACGAGGACATCACAGCCAGGGAACTATTTACAAGTTAGCCAACTGCAAACGAACGAATGGAGGAAGGAGAGTCTAAAGTTCAAGGACACAACGACCACCAATCGTCAGTTGTTTTGCTAGCACTAGCTATCAAATCATCCCATTCTAAAGAAAATACTACAGGTGGTGGTGTTGGACAGATGGAACATTCGGGCATCGATGCGAGTATTACTGCGCAGACGCAGTGTCCATCTCAGAGTGTGCTTTTGACATCTCTCGGAGATATAGCACTCGGCTTAACAGAAGTGTGTGACATTGAACGAAGGGAGTGTGACATATCTCTCCACTGAAATTAGCTCTCATCCGTTCCAAAATAGCAGTTTCTCGCTAGGGGTAGTCCATAAATTACGTAACGTTAAAGAGGGGAAGAGGAGGTTTGAGGCAGCGTTGCATATGTTGAAATACCGTAAACACGGGCTACTTGGACCCAATTTTTAATTCTTTCATAGTTTTTTACTCATTAATTCACAAAAAGTACACAAAATACGTTTATATTTTTTTCCTTTCAATATAACGTCAAGACAATTTTTATTATCCAATTTGTTATTGATTATATTAATAAATAATGAATAAAAATAATTTCACCCAATCCCGCCTTGGGAGATTATCGTTGAAAGTAGAGGCAGATCTGCCATGCATAGATAAGTATACGTCACAATATATCTGAAATTGAGTTCTTCTACCAGAAATCCGAAATTACAGCTTTTGTCGAGGAGACTTGGAAAGACTAATTCTTCCTCTCCAGCAAACAGTTTTGGATGGACTGGTTTCTGACTGGATTTGTGCTTCAGTCTCCTTCTTACTTCATGCTTTTTTGATTGTGAACAATAAGAAGCCAGAGTGGGCGCAAAGTGCATCTTTCTTGTTCACGCCATCAACAAGAATTTTGAATTGTAAAGATTTTTTTTATTTTTATTTCTTAGGAATCCTTTTCAAAATTGTGGGGGTGATGTTATTTGGCTAAATATGATATACTAGAGGCATATGTAAACACCAAATGGGGGCAAAATCAAACTCCCAATTACTAATTCATTATAAAGAATAGTAGAACAATTTAATTTCTTTAAATCTAAATTTAAGTTTGATTTTATTTGAATATTTCATTTTCAATTATAGGTATTAAAACTAGAACCTGAAGCCATCAAGGAAATTGCAAATTGATTTTAAGGAGACCCTGAAGGAGCAACCACTTGAAATTTTAGATTATTTGCAATGGTTGCCAAGTCCTATTGGATGATTCCTCTGATAGGTTAATTACACTATTCATGTCATAGGTTTCCGCAGCCAATCATGAACAGGACTATCTGGGTAATGCTGCATCAAAGGCTGAAGTGCCAATGTTTCAACCATCATATCATGATCTTCTTCAGGGCTGAGTGTGAATGCACTAGTCACACTACAGCCCTGAAGAACATGACATAGCTTCACACAACTGCAGCCTTCAAAGCAGCATTACCCAGATTATACTCTATTCTTGGAATCCACAGCGTGTGTATCAAAGAAATTGTTCATTGTGTTCCCATTTTGTGAAGAGTCAACAGTCTACTTCGTTTCAGTTAAGAATACCATATTTATCTTTAGGAAGTACATCTATATTTTTTTAATGCCTGTATCTCAGATCTCCAATAGTTTGTCAAAAACATTTTACCAAAGTAGCCTACATGTTACTTGTAGTTCATTTCAAAGTGACAAAGTAATTTAAATAATTGAAAGAGCCACACAAGAATTAGGCAATATTGTTGTTTTTTTTCTACTACACAATCAAGTGTCTCCAAACAAAATCAATTTAGGAAAGTCTACTCAATGTTGGTGTATTTTGCATATTCAATATCCCAGGACTTTAATATCTTTAACCCCCAAATCTGTTGAAACTGCAAAACCAAATTACATGCTGAGTAAAATACCAAAGTGTATCACCAGATGTTGACCGAATACATTTTATAGTGGCCTTTATTTCCACATGAAATTTCCAGGGGAAAAGAAAATAAAAAATACAATTTTCAGACATCCTTTGAAATATACGGATGAGTTTAAGGACCTTGGTGTGACCCCTGACACTCATTTAAATTTGAATTTGCAAATTGAACTGACACGTAAAAAAGCCAAGTAAATGTTGGGTTTCCTGATTTTCGTAATACCCAGTTTATAATATCCAGACATTTTTCACACTTGAGAGATCTATTTAGGAATATGCAGTGGTAGTCAGGTCATCCTACACTGAGGTTTCTCCACAAAGATCAAAAGTGCCAAATAACAGATTTCCAAGACATTCGGGATATATTGACAATCCTACATCAAGACTAGATCACAACTGTGAGAATATCTGAGCACGAAGGAATATCCCTATGCTATCAGCTACAAGCCTGTATCATGTCCTTGTCTTTCTACACTCCATTACATCTATATAACAATATTGCAAAATTTGAATGGAATTTTTGATAGTACTTTACCTTAGTAACTTCATTCCCCTTCAGTATCATTGTATTGGAAGTCAAAACAACGTACACAAAAAAAGTTTGAACACTTTAATAAACATTACATATATTATATATCTAAGACACTTAACTAAAATGAGCCAATACATGACAAAAAAAGGAGGCAGGCCTCCGGCAGGAAACACCAAGTTGTAATGTCCAGTTGTTTTTTTTTTTAAACAAAAACCACAAATGTTCTGTATCTTCATAATCCATGTTACTAACTTTTAATAAATTCACAAATGATACGAAAAAACAATTTTAAAAGAATGGCGTCTGCCATTCAACCTATAGCAAACAATTTGATTATCAAAAAACGAAGATGATTCAATTGCACAACTAATAAAACTGCTAAAAAGATATATTGGACTGTTTGAATTTCAAAATATGAAGTAAAAAAATAATTTATATAAACCATCTTCATTTTTTCAATATGTGCTAGATCATCAAATATATATATTGTTGAACCAATTCAAAATAGGTTCCAGGTCGCTCTCATAATATTTTTAAAGCAATTTATCACATGGACACATTTATACATTCAGTTTATCAGAAATCCAGATTCTTGCTCAGATGAGCTGGAAATTGGCAGCCAGTCTTGAGCCTGGAAAAAAAAGTTGAGATAATGATAGTGATAACATTCAATACAAATGCTACAGGAAAGGATTCAAGGGAAGAAATTAACCCTTTGCGCTCCCATGATCAGGTTTGACACTGCAAAACTGATCTTCTGCTCTGAAGCTGTCCCTCTAGAGATAAACCTTCCTTTCTTTCTTTTATGAGCACCAAATTTGGACAAAATTCAACAGGACAGACACATCTGCGAAGTAAACTAGTAGATGTCTAATTTTATGCCTACTTTTGCGAAATTTTTTCATGCCTACTCTTATCTCATTTTTTATTAGATAGTTTATTACACTACTACTCCGTTAAACTTATGTTGACATGAACTAAACTGACATCTAATGTATGTCATTTGAATAAGCTAGCATCACTAGCCAAGCAGTAAACCTGATTTCAATTTCCAGTTGACTTTTCAGGAATTTTCTCAAGAACAAAAGGCACCATCCAACCGAACCCCAAGTGACAACAATTCAATGTTTATCATATTTACAAGTTTTTTGTTATATCATTTCGATTTGTAAGAGTAAATTAGACTTAATTGTAGTAATGTGACCAAAACTTTTTCATTATGTTCTAAACAAAATGACTCTTCTTTAGTAATCCAAAACTAACAAATTCTAAATGGAGATTGAAGTTCCATGGTAGCCTTTCAGCAGGTTTTAAATGAAGACTTGATGGGAGTGCAGGATCTGAAGAAGTAGGAGCACAAAAGGTTAAAACAAATTTATCCAGACTGCAAATTGAAATGTGAAATATTTCATTTACGCTTGGGTGTCTTTTAGGTGCAGTAAACCTACAACATGAGACAGCTGATTTTACTTTCCCTCCAAAGAAAGTCATTTGATTTTAAGGACCCTTCTAATGGTGTACAAAAGCCCTTAAAAATCCAGCTAATTGGGTTTGAACCTGCAAACTGGGGTATAACAGTCTGATATGCTAACTGTTATACCAGTGAAGCCATGTTACTTCAGGAGAAAACAATCACCCATAATTAATAATAGATTTCATTTTTCTATATTAATGAATGATTAGGCTAGGGGAGAGGAGACAGACAGAGAGCGCGCGCGCGAGAGAGAGAGAGAGAGAGACAGGCAGACAGAGAGCGCGCGCGCGAGAGAGAGAGACAGACAGACAGACAGAGAGCGCGCGCGCGCGCGCGAGAGAGAGAGAGAGAGAGAGAGAGAGAGAGAGAGAGAGAGAGAGACAGACAGACAGACAGAGAGCGCGCGCGAGAGAGAGAGACAGATAGAGAGCGCGAGAGAGAGAGAGAGAGACAGACAGACAGAGAGCGCGCGCGAGAGAGAGAGAGACAGACAGGCAGAGAGCGCGCGCGAGAGAGAGAGAGAGAGAGAGAGGCAGAGAGCGCGGGCGGCAGAGAGAGCGCGGGCGGCAGAGAGCGCGGGCGAGGGAGGCAGAGCGCGCGGGCGAGGGAGGCAGAGCGCGCGGGCGGCAGAGAGCGCGGGCGAGGGAGGCAGAGAGAAAGATTCTCCCTGTGAAAAATATTTACACGCTACACACATTTTATTAAGTGTTTTCAAGTGAGCACGGATAAGGAATAAGAAAATATGTTTATTCGTTTTTTAAAAAAAAAACAATTAAAATACTATCTTTGAATTCTGATGTGAGTACACAATGGTGACATTGCTATTTGTTTATGAAGATTAATTAAAGTTTTTTGACAATAACATATTTGAGAATTCCAATCTTCAATTGGAAGAGGAAGTTTAACAGTTACCTGGCTTAATATCAGCTCGTGATCGTCCTCTTCCGGCAGTACTTTGAATGGTCAAATTTTCTGTCTCTTCAATAAGATCTCCAGGAGCTAAAACAGTACAATCATAATTGGTTTCCATCTGATCTAGAATTTGATACGCTTTATTATTTATTCCATCTGAATGCACACATCACATTTGTCATATTTCGTTTGCTGACTTTCAAGTGGCATTAAATAATGTACATTGGATTTGCATTCCTGCTGTGTCACCTAAGGGGCGCTTTTAACAATTACCACAGCAAAGCCAATTACTGTGAATTAAAAATAATGTTTTCCTAATTATTGCAATATACACTAATGTAATGTCATGTATAATGTAATATTAACAGAATTTGGAAGAATTTCATTAAAATAATCACTTGAAAACTTTTTTTGAACTCTATTTCTTATGTTATTTATATCAAAAAAATATTTTGAAGTACCACTAGTGGAATTGTGTGTAATTCTGTAGCACCATAGCTTTTAAAGAATTAGAAAGGTAGAATTTAGCAGCAAGGCTGGTTGTGCAGGGTTAATACGCTATTTTTAAGAATCTGAGCCCGAGTACCAGCATGGAGAACAGTTTTTTTCTAATTGGAACATTTTTTGCAGTTTCCTGTACTATTATATTAATGCGTAGCTATTATAAATAACAAGGGAAAGTACATGCTGTTGTTGCACAAGTTCTTTCTTTTAGGGCCGGTTTTACCAACAGCTGAGTAAAGTTGAGAGTAGTTACCCGAGAGTAACCATTTACTCCAATATAGTAACTCTCGAGTAGAATATGAGCGTTTCACCACGCTTCTAGAGAAGTATTTTACTCTAAGAGTACATACTCTCCGATTTACTCCGCAAATCAGTTGAACACACAATATTTGAGTGATTCAAGAGGCTGTGAGTGAGAATGACTCTGGGAACCACTGCGGACCAACGCGAACCTTTGATTTATTCCTTATATTCTCTATATTTAATTTCAGTATCGGAGTTCTTGGCGTTATAATCTGGTGTGGTGTTATGGTGGTTTGAGTTAGCATAGTTTATTTCCTAGTTTCTGTATCTTTATTTCTTAATAAATATTCATTCTTCTTCTCTGGAGACGAGTTACTATTTTGTTAGCAATGCAGAAAAATCAAATTTGCAGTTCGTTTACCGATGGCGGTGCAAATTCATTTTCTATAACTAGGGAACGAAAATGTTTAGTTTTTCAAATGTTGCTGATATCGTGTTTTTCTAAATTTTATTATTATTAGTTGTTTTATTTTTTAACTTTTATTCACCTTTCAACTATTTGTAGTTAAAATGTTGGAAAGGGATTCTGGAACTCAAGAAAACGTGGGCAAATGATCTCCCCCATACGTCACATACAGTTTTTACTCAATAAAATAAATATTTCTTAGTACTTGTAGTTCGTGTAGTTATAATTTTTTCTTTTGTTGTTGTATTCGGTACGTACTACCTTTATTTCGTATCCACATGGGAGAAAAATAACTTTAGAAGTTCTCTACAGTTTACAATGTATCTGATGAAGTTAAACAGCTGATTTGGTCAAACATAACCTCATGACAAAATCTTGATCGTCCTAATTAAAACCAATCCATTCTCTCTCGCACCCTTTGTCTTCGCACTAGTGGATAATATTCCGAATCATTGCTGGAATGGTCTTCAAATACTTATCATTCGTAATCGTCGAACCGTAACAACACTTTGGAGGTACATGCACGTTGAAAACTGAATTTACTCCGTACTTTACCCAACGGATTTTCGCGGTGTAAAGTTACTCATGAATTTACTCTCGTGTAAGCGTTTTACACTCGAGTAGTGTTGGTGAAACGCTACAAGGAGTTACTCTCGAGTAAACATGATTTACTCCAGAGTAAACTCTTACTCTTTGTTTGGTGAAACCGGCTCTTATTATTAAATCAGAACAAAACCTGGGCATTCCTCAGTATCCCAAAATGGCAAAGAGGCACAGTGGGGACAGCTTTTGTTCATGCATGTGGATCTTTCAACTTGGCACAGGTAGAATTTCCTACGGCACTCCCGAAGACTCATGTCACCGCAAGTGTAGGGTTACGAACTTACATTTTTCTTCTTGAATTATCCTTGCCCTGCCACGTCCACGGCCAGCTACAGCGGCTGGCATTCTAGAATGACTACCTGTAAGAGGGAAGAAAGCTAATAATTTTGTCAGATTTCTATTGAGTTACAGTGGGTTGACTGTAACAAGAGTAAGCTCATTTGACTTGCAACCACCAGCTTATCCTGCACAGTTTGAACCTTGTGTACCTGCACCTTGCAATCGCACAGAAGGTTGGGAGAGCACTGGAAGGTACAGAATTACATTGCTCTTCCCTAGAAAGCCAGGTTTCTGAACATCTATTGGCAAACTTGTATTTAAGGTTCCATTTCTTCACAAAATTAAAATGTTGGAGCACGTAAAAATAAGTAGTAATAGGTAAACTATGAAAAAATTCATAATTATAGTTTCAATCAATTTAAAATGCCAAGCAAATTCCAAGGAAAGAAAAAAAATTTAAAGCAGTTTTCTTGTTCCTGTAAAAACAGTTTGTTTTTTCTCATGAAAATCTGTTTGGTTATGACAAATTTTATCATTACAATGAGCACGCTATTTGTGTTACATATGTCATAATTTCCTATTTAATTGTTCGTCCACAAATAAATAACTTATTAAGTATTTACAGTACTTTTATAAACTGTTAATGACATACGTTTGAAAGGGATTTCACAAGGAATCTAGAAGTATAAGATTCTACATTACATTTAGTTGTTGCAAGTATTCCACCTTCCTCAAAAGTTCATACAATTTCCTGGTTTATACTTTTAAAAACATTAGAAATTTATTAATGATGAATTTTATATTAATATTACTTAATTATGAATTAATAAAGATGTCATTCCGAATTCCAGAAATAGTATTTTACAGATTCCACGAGAAATTTACGTACTCTAAATAACATAAAATTGTACAGTTTCAACTACACAGCCAGATAAAACAAATAGAAATAAGTACTTACGGCTTCCAAGGTCTGGAAAATCTTCAGAAGTAAAGTGTAAGGCATCTTGTACTGAAGCAGCTAAAAAGTGAAACAATTGATTATCTCCATCAATTTTTTTGATAATTACCGCAAAATTATCAAGTAAAATTTATTTTAAAATGAATGTAGTAAGTAAAAAAAGGAAACCAACTGTAGTTTCTTATTTTCACTAAGTTACACAATTTTAGCATTTTCTAACAATCCTGAAATACTATTTCTTTTTGGTCCTATTGACAACCAAACATCTCTACATATTTTATTGTAATTTGAAACTTGATCCTCAAATTCTACTACAAATTTACGAAAATGAGCTGACAAACAGGGCACGTACGCAACTTATTTGGGCGCCGAAGTGGACCTCCATCAGGCCTGGGTCCCCAGCAAGTCCCAACAAGTGAGGAAGGAGGAGAGACAGGTACAGAAGCAGCATTGATATTATAGTGCTGAAACATTTCATGACAATCTATTGACAAAAGGATCTGGCTTCAAAAAATATAAACAATATTTCCTAGCCATTAAAAAATACATTCACACAGAGAAATCTACAGAGAAATGTGTAAATAGTAGTTCACATTTTTAAAACAAACTTCCTATTTCATAAGAAAACAGTTAAAATGTTGATGTCTTTATGTAGCCAACATAATAGAGAGAAGGAGAGATCGAGCATGCGCAAGTGATAATATACTTATAAATTCTTCTCTCACATGAGCAGAGTCTTCAGAGAGACCAGATCTGCCGTAATCCACAACCTCCAGTGGGCGACTGCTAACAGCTGCCCCAAGCCGCTGGTTGCTGGCAGCACTCGCTGCTTGAGCTCGGCTGACAGGTTCAGGGGCAGAGGCAGGAACAAATGGGAGTGCTCTGCCACTTCTAGCCATTTGAGATCTTGTAAACTGGTCTTCCTGAAAAATATCAATAACCCTTAATGTGGCAAGTCCTACAAAGTACATGTTATAACAAGAATACAATTTTTTACATTCTTAAAAAGAATTAATTCTTAACAAACATACAGTTTACAAACTGATAACATTTCATTACAGTAGTAGATTGATAGTAGGTAATTCATATTAAATAAACAGCTCAGAGAAATATAAAAAGTCACTTGTGTAGTTTTGAGACCTAGCTTATTTTAACATTTGACAAATGCATGCAAATCAATGAGGGCCAATTCAATTATAAAATGTTCTGCCGGAGGGTCAGAAAATGGGAACACAAAATACTGAAAGGGAATCAGAATGCTCCGAGACAATCCTAGTAAGGACAACTAGCAAAACTCAAATTTTGCCTTATCTCTCCCAATGACCCATTCAAATGTATTAATAAAATACAGAACCAATATACAAAAAGTAAGAGGCATAATACACTCACAAAATACATCAATCAATGAAATATGGTTAACAATGAAAATGAGATCTGAAAAGTACATAGGAAAAAACAGAAAGAACTCCATACAAAAACACACAACAGTCATTGAAAAAATACACAACATAAGAAGAAAATAATGTATTGACAGAACTATGAGTGAAAGAGTTGGAAGACAAATTTGGTTGAAGCTCTATTCTATAACAGTACGATTCTCAGGCACTGCTTCCCCAGAATCGGAAACCTCTAGCTACTAATGTTTTTATAGAAGTTAGTGAAACCTTTACATACTTTCACGCTTCGTTTTCTTGAAACTTGGATGCACATGAACTATACAGTGTGCTCTACATAGATTTCCAATGGGGGTGATGCTAACCCCCCAGTGAGCACTGGAGCTTTAATGGGAATGGTAGCAGATTCAGAGGCAAATTTGGGGCTTGAGGCAGTCAAAGAGGTGCAGCTGTAACATACCTACGTCTGTAAGCAGCACGCCCCATAAGAATCAGCACCTGTATAGGAACACAGTATGTTTTACACTTATGAACGAACTGAGCATTTCTAGTACTCAATACTGTCAGCGTGGGAGTAATTTTCCACATCAGATCCTAGGATTTGCAACATGCTCATTGATTTCATTTGCATATTTACTTTACCATAACTTAAAGACAAAAGCAAATTATTAAAAAGTGATGATAACGTTTTATTATTTTCTAAATACAGTTCAAATTTTTTTGTCTGAATATCACATCAAGAAAAGAAAAAAAAGAAAAAAATGAAAACAGTAAAACCACGCTTTTATGTTCCTGCAAATTATGTTTTCCCGGCCCTACGAGTTTTTGTATACAATGCATTTACAATGGTATAATTTCAACTTTCTCGCAATTTGGAAGTCAGCTTGCCACAACCCCATCTGGAAAGCACTTCACGTAGCGCATGATGGACACTGTCAGTACACTCACCCTCCACCTCGCAGCATTAAAAATGACATAACAGACAGACCATATTGATATTGCAGACTGTGAGTGTGTGAGCAAGTGAGCGAGCGCGCGAGAGAGGGCGAGTGGGCGATATTGCAGAGTTATGAAATGTTACATCAAGACTAGATTTAAATACAGCGAAAATTATTGAGCAGCTGGGCCTCCACAAATTTTCATTTCATGATATTACAGAGGTATATAAAAAGGTAGAAAATATTACCAATGTGCATTTGTGGAAGAATATATGGCCTGTGCCACACATGCATTGCCTTGATGCACGTTCCCTAATGCTGATGACACCAGCTGCGTCGATGCCTGCGCACATGAATCGCTTAACTCAAATGGTAAACTTAAGTGTGTTGTTGCCAACACTTCACTAATTACTCCAGTTGTGCATCTGCTACTTATCACTTACTCATCGAATTACAAATCGAATTATCAATTACTCATCGAATGGTAAATAAATTATCTACATAGGATCTACCTGGTTGAGAGCCACTTGTCTTCTATTTCATTTATTTCAGAACAATTTTCACAGATCAAAGGGACAGCGAAGAGGAAATTAAACATTGCATTCGTCAAGAAAAATTTGCTTTTCAACAATTGCATTCAATAACATGGAATAAAAATATTAATGAAGTGAATATTAGAATTTATAAAGCAATTGAGGAAAGCATAGCACTGTATGGTGCTGAGTTGTTAGAGATCTCAGAAAACAAGGCTATGGAAATGGAGGGTTGGAGACACTGCTGTAGTGTAACGTTAATGGAAAGAATCAGAAATGAAAACGAAGCAAAAAATGTAAGTCATTTTAGATATAATGGATACAATACAAGGGAGAGGGTTAAATTGGTACAGGCATCTTAGAAGAGACACCGCATGGTGTAGTTGCACTCACAGTAGCTATGTAGATAAATCATTAACACACCAATGATTTTATGTTTTTTTTAGACAAGTTTATGTCAATTTTTTACGCAGGTGGGATTTTTTGGGCTACATAAAACTCAACCAAAATAAAATGTTGAGAAGTACACTAAATAGTTTACACAATGTATCTCCATCCACACACTGCTTTATAAGTTAAATGTGGACAGAGAAAAAAGATGAAAGAAGATTAGAAGCTTCCCAAATGACTTTAAAAACTCTACTAGTATTAACTTTGAAGGACAGAGTTGCAATCAAGAGCATCAAGATAAAACATCACGCGTGGTATACATTAAAAAATGACTGAAGAGAAGAAACAAATGGCTTCAACATGTTAACAGGATGGAGTCAAATTGGCCACAGTACTTAACTCACTAACAGACCTTGGGGCTAAAGAGATGTGGTTAGACCTAGTATGTGATGGTTGGAACAGATCTAAGATTCAGAACGGGACTTTAGATCTCAATCCTTGCAAAATCCTTGAAGGAAAATGAAAAAGTAAAAATAATAATAATAATAATAATAATAATAATAATAATAATAATAATAATAATAATAATAAAGTGGAAAGAAAAACTATGGAAAAAAAAAAAGAGATGAAGGGGAACAAATTATATTATTAAGAAACAGGATAAAGAAAAAGAAAACGAAAAAAGTAAAGAATAAAAGCCCAAGAACAAGTAGTAGAAACAGTTGGGCCCATAACATTCCACAAGTACTATCAATGGGGTAGCAAGCAAACAAAAATACTAACCTGCATCACAGCAGCATTGTTAGGAACATGTCTTCCATGAACCAATGGAATTCTTAAATCTGGGCAACAATGATCACAGATAAGATACCCCCATCGAGTCACAATTGATCTACTGCAGTACTGTGAAGTATCATGGTCCTTTTTATGAAACTGGAAAAAAGAAACAACAACAACAAATAAGACACTAATCAGAAAGTAATTTATGAAAATTCTATGGTAGTGTGAAGGCACTCATTGCAATCTAAGTGCAATAAATTGTGACCCAAACAAGGATTGCTATGAGCTTCTACACACAGTAGAAATCACATGTTTGTAATACAGTAAATTTATAATGAAATTCAGTTGAATGCATTAGATCTCTCCTACAAAATTGGTTTAGCTCTCTATCAAGAGAGCCACTACACACGACCACATAGCACCAAATATTTATGCTGATTTAAGGATTTCATACTCTCCTTAGCAATTAATCATTTCACACCAAATAAAGGAAAATATTTACTGCAGAAATTTGGCTCCAGAATTGAATTACTTCATAACAGTATTAAGTATTACACTGTTACATTGCAGAATTTGTGAAGTGAAGAATTGCGTAAACTGTTACTTTTAAAAATGCAACTAAATAAATGATTGAAGGGTTCAGTGTAATAGTGGTCTATGCCACATTTTAAGAAAACAGAAAAATTAAGTTAAAGTTGCATAGTAGGAAAGTAAAAATAGTCATGGTCAAACCAACAATGTACAATAACATAGTACAATTTATTTAGTCGTGCACTTGACGTAAATCAACTGTTGTGGTTTCATCCAATCGGGAGCTCATATGTCGCTGCAGTGACGTCACTAGGGGGATGTTTAAGCTCCCTATTGGATGAAACCGTGAACAGCTGAAGTCAAGGGCATGGTTAAATAAATCGTAGTATAGTCCACCTTCTTAGATTAAAGATGTTAAAATCTACTTTAATTCAATATCAAATGCCTTGATTTTGGGGTAGCAAAAAGTCTGTGTAATGGAATCATTTTTCCATATATCAAGGAGAAATTGTTGCAACTATGATCATGGGACTAATTCAAGACATTACCATCAACCAGACACAAAGTTTAGAATATCAGCTAACACTTTTTCTTTTTTTAATCAAGTAGAATACCTGGAATCTTTTTTGCACCTCACGTTTTAATGAATGCTTGGAGTAGTAAAAATCAACGTAAACAGGAATAAAAGGGGAGTAAACTGATTATTTAATAGAATATATTTTAAATAACATAATAGCTGAATATAAGAAATAATAATTAGAAACTTTTACAATAACCTTCTCTGAGCATAGCTTTTTAACAGGTCTTTAGAGATACCTGCAAGATTTTGCAGGACATTCTAAGAGAAAAAATGAAGTAATTATGGTGGTTTTAAAAATGACAATTCACGACTAGACATTTCAAATTGAAAATGAAAAAATAAAATAGGACTTTATTCTGTGCCAACTTAAGAACATAAAAATATTCCACTATTAAAGATGAGAAAATGTGGAAATTGAAAGGCATCTTCATCTGAAGTTCGTGAAGTGTAAGAATACTTAGAGAAATATAAACAAATAAGTATAATAATAATAATAATAATAATAATAATAATAATAATAATAATAATAATAATAATAATAATAGTATATAAAAATTAAATTTGTTTAAAAAATAATTGTTTGACCCAAACGAGAACCAATTCAATAAAATGCATTGTTACTCAGTAACATGGTCACAATTTGCAAGTAATAATAATAATAAAAATGATAATAATAATAATAATAATTTTATTGCACAAGTGTTTAAACGAATGGTATACAGTGTGGACCATGAACTCTACATGTCAGATGCAAATAAGTTATCAACAGCAACATAATCTCTTGATGAAAACTCGAGAACTATAGTTAAGTGAAAACTTACTTCACAAGCAATACCAGGGGCAAAATTATACTGATCCTTTTCCAGTTCCCTTAGAGCCAATGTTTCAACAGGAAATCCTGTTCCATTAGGAGGAACAGCAGCATTTCTAACAAAGAAGAATAATTTTGAGAGCGGATACACCCTGAAGATGTCTGGATTTTGTGGATCTGTACACAAAGAAAAACAAAAAATAAGTGTTAATGTAAATGGTATCATAGACATTGAAAAAATCATTTATTAAAATGTCTCCGACATTTTCAGACATTCCATTATGAAATAAGATACTTTTTTGTAATACTACTATGTTAACTTATTGCAACCAAACATAGGAATGAAAAGCCATTCTTAACAGTTAGCATATTTTAACGCTTTAACAGTCCCCCGTCTGTCATCAAAGAAGTTGTAGCTAAAGACTGCTTCAGTTCACTTTTCACTTTTTCCAAAGAAAAATGGTATTTCTTGCTCATACAATTTTTTTCTGTAAAGAATGGTAATGTGAAAAGTTTTGACTGACACTGGCCAACACTTAACAGACTCTCTTGATAACAAACAAGTTATGTATGCTTCTTCTTACAAACACAAACGAACATTGCTTCTCCTTAGAAACATAATGTCTTATTTGCTACGTATCGACCTAATGTTAATAACTACAGTGAAACCGTTTATACTGTATGTTTTGCACTTGCACATTTTACATGTTTATGTATTGCTTTTTAGTAAGTCTCCTGCACTTCAATTCACATGATATTTCCCACACGCTTTTATGTTTATATGTTTTTTACACTTATATGTTCACAATAGATGTCCTTCTAAGATCATATAGCATGCGAAAGAAAACGACATAGGAGAGCAATAAGCGAGCGTTTACATTATAGCAGAGGAACCCAAAGAAACTTTGCTTTGAATTCTATATAATTCTGTATTTCTAATGAATTCTATATTTCATCACTGTACATGGTGTTTCAACTCTCCATTTTGGAGTTTAGGACAAAACTGATGAATGAAAAAATAGGGGCACTACTGTCATGTGACTATGCATAACGTTCACCAATACTGCAAGATAAAAATTCAGCGGAATAAAGGAAATATTGAAATTTGTGGGAATCAAAGATTTATATTGACATTACAGCCTGTGTCACTAGTGTAGCATTGATATTTTGTCACCTAACGCCGATATATTGACAAGCGTCAATGCCTGCGCACGAGTCATGTATGGCGCATTGTAAATTAACACGCAAAACGGCACACAATCACTCTTGGCAATGTGTGTTGTTGCCTTCGTGCATCAACTATGTTGACACGCACAATTAGCACCCAATGCGTTGTGCAATGAAAGCTAGAAAACGCAAGTTATCTTGACTTACATTGCACAGATGCAATTTAACAAACAAAAACAATTCGTGAGAAAGATAACTCACAGTGAAATTCAGCCATCTCCGACAGGACATTCTGAGCAACACCCACATGCTCATCATGAGAATATAGAGGAGGCAAATAGCCATTAGCCATCCTGTTTTGCTGTAGGACAAGAATTAATTATTAGATTTAATGAGATAAAAAATTCTAGCACATGCTCATTTAAAAACGATAACTCAAAACAACTAAAAGAAGAGACATTTTCAACAAGTTTTGTCAACTGAAACCAAACTATACCCAAACTACGTTACAAACTATGTAAAAACTACAAAGTTTGAACAGACTTTTGTTGTCCAATGAAAAACTTTGAACTCATTTGCAACCTTCTAAGTCCCACCCACCCACCTACACAACCAAAAACTTGTTTCCTGCATTTATTTAATGTCAAACAGTTAAAAAAAACTGTACTATGGAGAGAAGTGTATATTGTGCGTGTTTCCTTAAACTCTTCAACCCATATACAGTTTGGATATAGAAATAATTTTTTTTTTTGGCAAGAATTGTTAAGAAAATGTTTGCTTCTGTGTAATTTTAATTTTTCATACCTACATGTTATGAATATTTTTTAAACCAAAAATGCCTCCCAGTCTAGAAAAAAAATCCTTCTTAATAAAATTTTTTTGAAAGTATTATTTTCCTAACTTCTAGGGAAAATCTGAAAATTGGGGTTCATTAATGCTAATTTGTGAGATTCTTGCATACTGTATGAACTGGCTTTTGTTCAGGTCAATGGGCAGCCATAAGTGGTTGCCATGATAAGGATTAAACTGCTCATGTTTGGTTCTGTATCATCCACATATATTTCCGTAACAATCACAATTTGGATTTAACACATTTTTACAATACCAATTATTTTTGTTTCATAATTTAATTATTTCATTTTATTTCATGTTTATTTATACTATTTTAAATTATTTTACAAGAATTCCCCAAATAACAAGAAACACACATAATCCATTCTTTACTATATTTATTTTAGTATCTCTGGTAGTTGGAAAGTAGTACTTGCCGATGCCAATTTACTGTCAATACTGTTCGATAATTGCAAAGAATTTTGCCACTAATATGATTATGTCGCTTTCTTCATCAATAGGACTCCATACATTGATTTCACCTCTTAAAGGTATATTAGTTATTACCACCCTTAATAACTACTGTTTCTAAATATTAAACAACTGCAATTTATTTACAGAAACATCAAAAGAAAAAACCTCCAACTACTACCAGTAATTCTTCGACGTATATCATGTCGCCTCTGAATGTATTGTCTGTTGGAAAGAACACTAACCACTTTTCTTTACACACAGGAAGTACTAGAAAGGTCACACTGGCTCATGAATTCTATTTATGATAATGCCACCCTGCTTTCTCATCAGCAACACCATTGAGAAACAATATGCACACAAATCTTTTAATTATGATGAGTCAGCTGCTACTCGGAACGTTGCTGGCAAGTGGGACGCGACAAAACGCATACCTCAGAGTTTGCGTTCCGTTTGGAGAAGGTAACCACGACGCACACGCTGCGCAACTAGGTTGCGGTGAAAAGTTTTGATAAATTAATGAAAGAGCAACCCCTGGTGGGATATGAGAATCTGCAAACAAAGAGAACTCACCTCCAAAAACTGTTTGATTCTGCTAAATATGTTGCCTCGCAAGGGCTCACCCTCAGTGAGCTCATTAGGTACTGGAATTTGGTGGGTCTCAGTAAGTGTTTTCACAGCAGCGTACGTATATCCTGTAGGAATTCTTTCTGGAAATAGAGAAAATGTGGATAACTACCACAATTGGAGTCATCATCATATTGAGGGTATAAACAAGAACTATCGAACTATCTCCTCCTCATGAACACCACTCTTCTAATGAACTAGGTCTAAAAAAAAGTAAATGTAAATAAACCCATTATAATACATTAAAATACAATTAATTTTTGCAAAAGATGAAAGGGCTAACTTTAATTTAATTGTTAAAAATTTGGTAAAAAGACAACAGGAATCACCAGACAAAAAAGAGAGGGCCAACCAATAGATGGAGTGAGAGAGGGAATGTTGGAATGAGAAAAGAAGGTAAAACGAGAGGAATGTATTTTCAAATCCTGATTAAGTTGTCTTATATTCACAGATTAAGCCTAGACGGTAAGGTTTAAGTTTTTACATTGCCATTCCATGTCACGAAACTCAGAAATGTTGGCATGAAGTGCAAAGTCAGCAAAAATATAGCACATATGTACAATACATAATTATACAGAATTGTATAATTAATTCGTGGTCATATTCTCAGCATCCATTGGGAATTTGCCAAACAATTCAGATTGATATTTTGGAATGAGCAGGTAAAGAGAGAATCTGAAAAAAATGGCACTGTACAATGAAATGTAGTGTGAAAATGAATGCTGAGATTATTACATTGGCTTTGACAAGGCCCCATGGAATCTCGGATCGACTCCTGACAAGTGCGAATCTGCATTTTAACTGTTACAGAAACAGGCCAAGAAGTGTGGGACAGCTACAAAATCTGGTGACACAGAAGATAATGGTGGATAAATCTTAGGTGGCACCTGATGGAAGACTACGAACAATGCAAATTCAATGCGTAAAACTTGTTATGATACCCAACTGCAGTATACATTTCAATTTGAGATTCAATTTAAAGTTTTAATTTTATTTTTTTATGCGAAAAGTGGATCATTTCCACATTGGAGAGAAGTGGTGACAAAGTTTTCCTACTATTTTTCAGCAATTTTGAACTCAAATTTACCTTGCTTTAAAATACTTCAAAATAAATAAAGTTGAATATATAAATTTTCAACACTACTGTATTATCATACCAGTCAATGAGAGTAAGGTCATTTTCACATCAGAATTTAAATTCAAATAGAGAATATTACAAAATCATCAAAACCTAATTAATGTATATTTTGAAGCATCAGCATTGAAGTGGTGCAGCATTTGAACTTCATGAGGTTCAGATGATGACGACTTTCATTTCACAAATTTTTAAGTATTTCACAAGATATTAAGTAATTTTTCAATATTTTCTTGGGAGAATTTTAATATGACATGAGATGTCAAGATTTAATCACTGAAAACTAGCTTTCAGCAAACAAAATCACACTAGGTAGGTAAATATCACTGATTTGTAGGCCAGTTTCCAACCCAATGTATTTTAGTTTAAAAAGCTACAACAACCCAGCATTGAGTCCTTTACAAAACCATAAAAGTCTGCAAACTTGAAAATTGGTCTGCATCTCAAAACAAAAATGGCTGTCATTTGTGAAACATGTGCAATATTTTCTTTTTAATGCTTTGGACAATCAAAACATGAGGATATTTAGTTGCTAAGTTTGATTTTTTTCCGAGATGGAGAGGCAAACCACTTAATTCTGGACAACTTAAAATGAAATGACCCTACGAGACACTTACCTTGACGTATAATAGTGTGGTATACATCCTTTACACCATGTAATAAGTTGAATTGAGCTACTGCCACTTCACATACAAGATATTGCCCATCGTCAAGTTGGCAATAGTAATTGAAATGAACAAAATAAAACACATGTGTTCTCAATGCTGAAAGAAAGTATGAAATGAAGAATCAGTCTCAACCTCTAATTAAAAAAAGGGGTACATCCTATGAGTAATGTAAAATTTCATCCTCTATTCAATTAGCACCCAAATTTTGATGTTTTATCAACAAAATACTAAAGTAGTGACTGCACTTTCCAAAAAACATCATTTTGAAAGAGGAAATTAAAACTAAATGTTAAAAACAGTACTAAATAAAAAATTAACGCAAGTAATAAACTATTTGTTTTACTGTGATGTATTGAGTGATTGTAGTTTTGATCGCAGAGATCTGATTTTCAACTGAGATTTTTGTAAATTTTTTCTCAGAGATGCCATCCCTCAGAGATATTTTGTAATTCTATGCAATTTGCAAGTTTTCTCAATTGGAAAAGTGTTGAGGAAATAAACAGTGGAAGAAGAGATCACAACTAAGCAAAATTTGCATACCCAAGGTATTTCCTCATCACTATTACTTTAGTGGAAGGTATCTTGGAATATTAAGACCACTGAATAACAGAAAGATATCTTTTCAATAAACAGAGTATGGAATAATAATTAATATCTTCATCATCCTCCCACCACAGAGTCCTGTTTTCCTCACAATTTGTTTCCCAAGGAGCAACATCAAAGTATAAATTGGAAACATGAAATTGAATTCAGAAAACAGTAATGCTCATCACAACACACTACTCAAAGAAACTACATGTTCCAATTTATACACGAGAAAATTTAAAAAAAATTAAAAAATGCAAGGAACCACAAACTGCACTTACTTCCTTCTCTGTCCAAACCTTGCACTGTACCCTCTATTTCCATTCTCATCTTTCTATCAGCCTCCATTTTTTCCAGTTTCTCTTTCTCCAAATGAGAATACGGAACACCCATTGTAGTGAACTTATTTCCTTTCTCGCGTAACTTGTGGTCTGCTGCCATGTTCTCGTAATGCATACGTCGTTCAGGTGACAAAGTCTGAAAGATGGTGACCAAATGCTATAGGATAGTTGAATAATAATAATATTTATTGAGTCACATATACAATTACAATCTTGTATGACGAGTCAATATGATGCCTTGGGCGGAGAGAGCAAAGTTACATTACTGTTCAGGAGCAAACAAGGGGCCATCTCAGCATTTGCTCAAAGGACCAG